TCCAGCGAGTTCTGCTTTGATGCTTTTACAGATCCCAACTGAAGTAGCACAACATCCTGCCCTCACACAAGGCAAGAGCTCTGAATATACAGAAATTATATTCTATATACAAGACAGAAGCTCAGAAGTCTCAAATCTCAGACCCTTGCCCAGGTTCACATTGTGTGGCAAGAAATGCTGTCCCAAACAGCCCTCCTGCAGCACCCAATGAAGGCGTTTTATCCCAAGCCTGAGCAAAGCTGGATTTGTTTGCTAGAAAGATGAGGTTTCACCATCAGGGTTTACCAGAACTTGTCAGCAAGTCAGCAGAAACAGAAACCAACAGGGCGTGCTGATGCTGCTGAGGTCTCAAGGAAATACCACCCATGCCTCACCTTGATGAGACAGAATGCTGGGAAGCTCTTCCTCCTCCTCTTCCTCCACCAGATCTGAGAGCTGACACAGCTTCTCACAGAACGCCCTCTCAGAAGACAGCCCTGAGGGCTCCAGTCCTGCAACAGCAACACAGCTGTGAGCGTGGCACAGCCCTCAGCCCAGTGTGAGAGCAGCAGCGTCACCCCGCAGCAACGTGAGCCACAGGGCACCTGTAACACCACACAGACCTCAGCCTGGGCAAACAGCCTGAACATGAGGCAAAAAAAGGGAGAGGAGCCACAGGAAAGGATGCTGCTTGCAGGATTCCGTACCCTTCCGTCCCTTTATATAACCTGAATTCCCCAGGACTTGAAAACACAGAAGGATTCAACCCAGCAGCTCAAGAACCACCTCCACAAAAACACAACTGCTACAGTGATAAGCAGCGCCTGCGCATCAGAAGGAATGCAGATTGCATTCCTAAGAGCAGCGTGCCCACCTTCCTCTTCCTCAAAGTCGGGCAGGTGGAACTCCTTTGCTCTGTCCATAACCTCAGGCGGCTCATCCTCATCCTCCTCCTCTTGCAGCTGAGAGAGAACGCCATCAGACAGCACCCTGCAGTCAGACAGCCCAGCTGAAGGCCCAGGGCTGTTTCTGCACTCCTTTCTCCTGGACGAGGACGTTCCTGCCTCGGCCTCTTGTTTTCCTTTCGCTTGCTTCACACTCCTTGCCTTTTTCCTCTCATTTACCTGTTTGGCTCCGTTTCTATTCTCGCTTCCTGTGCTCCTCTGTGAGACAGAGGCATTTTTGGAAGACGAGCGCAGTAACATCTGGGCTCTGGGCTGCAGCCTGGTGCTCACCCTGCTCCTCCCAGGCAGCGCCGTGCCAGAGCTGCAGGGTGCAGACACAGAAGCGCCCTCAGCAGGGGGCTGCCCTCGGCCTTTGGAGGAACCGTTTGGAAGCGACCCAGGCCATCCTGCACCTCTTGCTCTCCTTCCTTGCTTACATTTCTCCTCCTTTAGCTTCAGCGAGGCTTTATTACTCGTTAGGGATTTTTTCAACCATCTGGGCTTTGTTTTTTTCTCTCTTGATAACAGTGGTGATCCTGGCGCTGTGCAATTCTCGCTGTCTGAGTTTGATGTGTTGCACAGCTGCCCAGTGCTACGCTTTGAGAGTTTTGTTCCATTTTCATTTGCTCCAGGACTCTTCTCTGGAATTAAAGAGCACCTCAGGTTTTGTTTTTTCGTACCAGTCCTCAGGTTGGGGCTATTTCTCTGCTTTCTTTTCCTGTTGAGGCTCTCAGACTCCAAGTCTTCCTTAGAGAGTGGCTGACAGCTGCTTAATGGGGAAGATGAAAGAGACCTGGCACCGTTTGCCTGGGACGAGCGAGTACTTGGCCCTGCCTTCGAAGGTGGCTTTTCTCTGGTTGGTGCATCTTCTTCCAAGGAATCCAAGGCAGTTTTAAGAGCACAACGATATTTCAGTTCTTCCACAGCCTCATCTGGATTTATCTTTTCACCTGATGAGGAAGAAGAGGCAGTAAGCACAACCACCTTTGTTAGCGTACCAGAAACAGTTGCATCTACGTTACACCCTTTTCCTAAGGCAACATCGAAACCATCTGTGATTTCTGAGGCGAAGCAGCAGACAGCACAAAGTAACAACGCCATGCAGATACACACAAGTTCCCTCCCCCTTCCTTCAGGAGAAACCCAAGTGGCAACAAATGCTCTACGCTCACTTAAGCTAGAGACGATGTCCTCTATGCTCGCTTCCTCCAGGGGCACAACATCCTCCTGCTTCACACTGACCCTGAAAACACAACAGAACGAGGCTGCGAGTCACTCAGCTGATTGCATGGATGCTTTCACATTAAAGCTCACATATTTTTTTATTGCTTGCATTTAAGAGCAGAAAGAAAACGGTAACAGAGATACTTCACCTCTCTTTTAGGCTGATTATTTCAACCTCCAGAACCTCCTGTGCGTTGGTGATAGGGGGATCCTCAGCAAGCCCGGGCTTTGACAAAACCTACAGGAAAAAAAGAGGCATTTCAAGCGCTTTACGAGTGCGTGGAGGCTGCAGGACAGGCCTGACTTCACAACGACTTTCGAAAGCATTTCGTTGCCTTCTTTGCAATATATCCCCCTTTTCCCGACTCAAACGCTCCCAGGGAGGCGACAGCACCCAGCTGAGCCGTCAGCCCCGCCCCTCGCGTGGATCACAGCCCCAATTTCAGCCCTGTTCCCACACACCGGAGCTGCCATCCTCACCCTTCTCCATCCCCCAGCCTTACTTTACCTTCGCCGGCCACAGCCGCCCCCTCCAGCGGCACAGGACGCAGCCCCGGTTCGCCATGCGTTTCACACAGGGAAGGAGAAGCTCTGAGGTAAAAGGAATAAAGCATGACCAGAACTCGGGGCGCTCCGGCCGCCTCCTTCCAGCCCTTCGCGGCGTAACGCAGCACTCGAGCGGCTATCAACCGCCACCACGCGGCGCTTTAACTCCCAAACGGCGGCACCGCCGCTACCAGGACCCGGCACCGAAAGCAGCGAACGCCCACGGCCTCCGCCCGGCGGGAAGAAGGAGGAGGAGGAGGAGGAGGAGGAGGAGGAGGAGGAGGAGCCGCCCCGCTCCGCCCCTCCGCCCGCAGCAGGGACCCCGCCGCCTTCCCGCCCACCGCGCCTCCCCCTGCGCATGCGCCACCCTGCTCCTAGCAGCACTACAGCCAATCGACTCCCTGCTCCTCCTGCTTCCCGCCCTCGCTGCACGGCCAATCAGTGCGCCCGGTTTTCTGTTTGCCCCGCCCTAATGGAAAGGGCGGGAGGAACTCCCCGCCTCTCAGCTAATGAGCGTCACTTCCGCTTCCGCCGAGGTGGTGACGTCACGGGGGCGGAGCCATGTGCGCGCTGCGAGCACGTGGGCGGCCCGGGAGCTGCGACCCACGGCAGTCCCGCACCGTGGGGTTGCGGTGCCCGAAGGGCAGCACCCAGCGCTTGGTGTCGTTGGGCCTCAGCCCAGCGTGAACAGATTGACCGGTAGTCAGCCCAGTCTGAACGGATTGACCGATAGAGCCGGAGAGGAGTCGTACCGCATGGGCGCAGCCATATTGGCTTCCAGCCATTGAGACACAGCGCGCATTAGGACGTTAGATGTTTTTATTTGCTGTCTATGCTCTTTTATAAATACCTGCGATATTGAAAATGTAACCACTATACCGAAGAAATAAGTTATTAAAACACATTCTGAAAACAGCATACAGACCGAAATGGCGTGTCCCATAGGATGGACACTGCTTTCCCTACCTCCAAGTACAGATGTTTGTGGAATAATACTTTGTTGACAGAAGAGACAAACTCCCTTTTTTTTCCCTTCTTTTTCTGGCTACAATTTCCCCTGGGTTGTCTCCCTAGGATGACACTTTATTACCCATTATCTCAGTGATGCTACCAGGAGCAGTCTGAGGGCAGAGTGATGTCCCTGCTCCTGTGCTGAGCTCCCTGGCCTTCTCCTGCACAATGTTTTAAATCTGTCCTTCACGTCAGAGTGTATGAATTAATACCTGATTTAATAAATAGCAGACGTGAAGTTCAGGCCCCATTGTTGAGAATGGACACTTCCATGGGGTTTGCACATCTGCAGGATGGAGAGCAGAGCTCAGAGCAGCGCTGCATTCTGCCCCCTGTCTTCAAGCAGGGAAGGAAGAGAGGAAATAACAAAAACGAGCATCATTTCCTTTGTCCATTCTCTCATGCATCTGATCTCTCCTCTATATTGGCTTTATGAGCACCCTAAACATAAACGAGCACAATAAAGCGTGGATCAGCCCTTACTGTCATCCTTGGGATTTCTGTTTGTGCTGTAAATAAGTACAAAAGTCACTGTGTTACATTTCCCTTCCTGCATCCCTGGTTACAGCTCTGCATCTACCAACCAACCCTCTCCAGACCGTGTCTGCAATTGCAGCTCTCAGCTTAAGCAAAGCTGTAACTTTTGTCTGCAGTCCCTTCTCTCCAGCACACATAGTATGGCTTTTCCTGTCTCATTTCTTCTTCTGTATTAAAATCCACAAATGTTCATCCTGCAGCTTGGTAAAGAAATGCCTAAAAAAAATCTCATTTTCAAGAAGTTTGTCCTCGGATTTCATTAGTCTTAAAAAACCGAACAGAAATGCAGTATAAACTCCTCGTCCCCAACGAAGAAACAACAGCACCGTGTTACAAAGCCTGTCGCTGCCCCGTAGAAATAATTGCATTGTTCTTCATTAAAACACAACCAAGGCAGCCCTCCTCACCGCCAGCCCTGCCGCTCCCACACAGCACACACCGCACCGAACACCAGGACGAATGAAACCGCAGCGTCACGAAAGCACGAATCAAACAGAGCTCATCTACCACCTAAAGACACCGAGGAGCTGCAGGCAGGCGGTTTTGGGGGGGAGGTCCGACCCTCCCCTCCCCCCTTCTGCAGTGGGGCTGGTGGGTGCAATGGGGCCGGAGACCGAGCGCGCATTGCTGGCCACCCCCCCCCTCTGCAGTGATGCCTTTGAGGACTATTTACAGAACTCTGTTGTAGAGATAACGGCGATGACAACTCGCTGCCTTTGTTGGGAAGGTGAAAGAAATCCTTTTTTCTTTTTTTCTTTTTTTTTTTTTTTTTCCCTGCTGTTTGCTCCTCGTTTTTAAGCAGCCGGGACACTCGTAATAACGCCACAGCAGCCAAAGCTGTTGGGTTGTTGGAAGACAGGAGTCGCCAGCGCTGCTTCCCTGCGGGGTGGGGATGGACGCACAGCCACAGCAGCACCACGCAGGGATGCACCCCGTCCTGCCATCCCCACGGCTGCCCCAGAGCCCCCCGAGCAGCTGCTGGGAGCCGGGCACCATCAGCTCCTGCAGCTCGCCCCGTTGATGGGCATTTTGGGCACAGCAGGGAACGCCTCCAGCTCCTCGGATGCGGCGGTGGCCTCAGTGCTGCCCCGGGGGCCCCCCCGGCTCCTGGAGCAGTCGTGGTGGCCGTGGTTGCCCAAGCGGCTGGAAGCCACCACGGCTTTCATGGCAGCCTGCAGGCAGAGCGTGATGGCGTCAGTAGGAATGATGCACACACAAACCTGGTTCAACCCCCAGGCTGCCCCTGCTCGGCGTTTTGCTGCTCAGGGCAGGGATTGCTCGGCCCCAGCGAGCGCAGCCCACGGATGGGACAAGTTTTGTGCAAGAGGAGGAAAGTGGGAGGGATCCGTCAGGTTTTACCTTCAGTTTCCTCCTGGCGTTAAATTCCTGCAGCTTCTTTTGTGTGCTGTCCATGTGGGCAAACTTGGCTGCTTTTCCAGTCACCCAGGGATGCTCCAGAGCCTGGTAGACCGTCAGTCTCTTCTGGGGATCCAAGACGATCAGTTTTCTGACCTGTGGCCGATTTCAACGTGCAAAAAAAACAAAAATGGTCATTTGTTGAGTGCCCCCCGCACCCAACCCCTGTGCAATGCTCTTGGTGGACTCACAGCCTGACGTTTGCAAGGAATACAGATGCACAGGAGCAGAGAAGCATTTGACACCGCTCCATTTGGCTCTATTTGACTCTTGGCTCTGTCATTCTTACACCCGATCCACTCGCCTCACACAGCCTCAAGCTCTGCCCTGAAGCTCAGTGACTCACCAGGTCCTTGGCATTGAGGGAAACCTCGTCCCACCACGGGGACACGAACTCGTAGTCGCAGGTGAGGATGCGGCTGTACATGTATTGGTCCCCACGTGGGTCAAAGAAGGGCTCAAACCCGCAGAGCCTGGAAGGAGCAGAGGATCCCCAGTGCCCCCAGGCCCCACGCAGGGACACGGCACAGCCAGGGGCTCAGAGCCCATATGCAATACTCACAGGATGTAGGTGATGACACCCACCGACCACATGTCCACCTCAGGGCCGTAGGGGCAGCCGTGCAGGATTTCAGGGGCTGGAAGCAGAGATGGGGGTTAAAATTCAGGAGGAAAACCCTTTGTGGGCACCTCCTGCGTGCAGAGCTCAGCACGGAGCTGATTTGTGTTGGGGACTGATGACAAACAGGATTCGTGCATCACAGACTTTTGCCACCTGTCCCCATCTCCTTCCAGCCCCCAGTTCTGGGCTCTTTGTGGGGCAGACTGCAGAGGACTTGCCAGGCAGGAGGTCCCCTTTCCCCCCCCCCATGTTCCTCTGCCCCACACCCCCACTGCTCACCGCAGTACCCCGGTGTCCCACAGACGGTTTTCATGGTGTCCTGCTCATCCACGATCTTGGAGAGCCCGAAGTCACCTTGGGGACACACAGGGAAGGGTCAGACTGATGGGTGCCCACCAGGCTGGGAAGCCCCGGGGTGCAGCCCCTCTGCTCAGCACCCACCGATCTTCAGGGGAGCGTCGGGGGACAGGTCTGCATACAGCAGGTTCTCCGGCTTCAGGTCCCGGTGCACCACTCCATTCTCATGCAAATACTGCGGAGAGAGACGGCGGGGATGGGGGGAGGAAGGAAAGGCTTTAGCAGGGCAGCAGAGGAAGGACGTTTCCCATTCAGAGTTTCCATTTTTAAAACCTATCTGTTGCCATGGAAACCCCATTTCCAGGTTGCGTGGCAGTGACCTTCCCCAGACAGCACGGCTCTGGGCCTGCAGCGATGCTCCCAGACCCACAGCGATGCTCCCAGACCCACAGCGATGCCCCCAAACCACAATGGGGACACGGAGACGTTACCAACACAGCCTCCAGGATCTGCTTGACCACGTGGGCCGCATCCCGCTCACTGTAGAAGCCCCTCTCCACGATCCTGTGGGTGCACAGCAGTCATCCCCCATCCCCAACCCCATAGGGGTGTCCTTCAGCCCCATTCCATCCTCACCCTCCCCTGGGGCTGCGTGCCCTACCTGTCAAAGAGCTCTCCTCCCGTCACCAATTCCAGCATCAGAGCAATCTCCGAGGGTGTCTCGAAGATCTCCTTCAGTTTGATCTGAAAGGGATGAGAATGGGTGGCAGCAGATGGGGTTGTGCCATTGGGATGGGGCTGTGCCATTGGGATTTGCCATTGGGGTCAAGGCTGTGCCATTGGGATTGGGGTTTGCCATTGGGGTTAAGGCTGTGCCATTAGGTTGGGGCTGTGCTGGTGGGACAGGGCTGTGCCTTTGGGGTTAAGGCTCTGCCATTGGGGTTAAGGCTGTGCCATTGGGATTGGGGCTGTGCTATTGGGACAGGGCTGTGCCATTGGGGTTTGCCATTGGGGTTAAGGCTGTGCCATTGGGGTTGGGGCTGTGCCATTGGGATTGGGATTTGCCACTGGGGTTAGGGCTGTGCTATTGGGGTTAAGGCTGTGCCATTGGGATTGGGGTTTGCCACTGGGACATGGCTGTGCCATTGGGACGGGGCTGTGCTGGTGCCATAGGACCCTGCTCACTCCCACCACGTAACTTCCAGGTATGGCAGCACTGGCACAGACACCCCCCACACATCCCCTCCTCTCCTGTTTGTCTCAGCCCAGATCTGGAACTGCCTCGCTCACTTAATCATGCTTTAAGGGGGAGGCAGGGGCTGCTCCTCCTCTGGACTTCAGCCCTATCGACTCGTAGAGCTGGGGACACGCATTGATTTCACAGCCCAGCTGCGATGCCACCTCCGGAGCTGTGACACCCGGGGCCCCCATGAGCAGCACCCACAGGGGAGCAGCGCCAGCAGTGCTTTGCATGGAAGGAGCGTGAAACAATCTCCATTTTCCTTATCATTTTCCCTTCAGACGCCATGCGAGGTCTGCACAAACGCTTTGTGCCCGCGCGGCGAATCTGGAATTAACAGATTCTCTCTTAAAAAGAAGTAAAAAATGCAATATATATTTTTTCTAATTTTTTTTTTTTTTTTTTAGACAGAAAACAGAGCATTTCACGCTTCTTAAGACTTTTGTGACACTGCGGATTTCATGGGGCTTTAATCATTACCTTCGCAGGCCGGGTGACGAGCCGTGATACCCCGCAGGGCCGGCGGCAGCTGACTGCATTATAATAATACACAGAAGCACTATAATTTTCCTATTAACTTCAAAAGTTTACAATCCTATTATCATCCACCGTCGAGGTTGGTGCTGAATGCTAGCAAACGGACCGAAGGCGCTGTCGTATAGAAGGAGATGCAGCAGCTGCCAGCTCGGGGCTCCCTATGGAAACTCTTAGCACCGAGGCACCCATGGGTGCTCCCCGTGTGCCCAAAGGGTGTGGGAGAGCACAAAGCAAAGCTGATGGCGTTTCTATTGATGTATGAAACGTGGTCCCCTCCTGTGCTGCGTTGGGATGGAGGAGCTGCTACCCCCAGTGCTGGGTGCAGGGAGCACGGAGCCCCTCGCCCTCTCCTGGCCTCTTATCTCCCCTCGCAGCATTCCTCGCTGATGGGCAATTGGCTTCGGTGCTCATTTCATCTCCTCGGTGGAAATTGCTCACCGAATGGAAAGCTGAGGGCGATGGGGAGCGGGGTGGGGGGTGGGGAGCAGCTATGGAGGGGGTGAGCCCCCATTGTGCCCTGATGGGAAAGGAGGGGACGGCGCTGAGCGGGGCTGCGCTGTGCCATAGGGCACCAAGGGGGCCGGGTGATGGGGTGACGGGGTGATGGCTTCACCCAGCGCCATGCTGGGATGGGGGCACTGCGGCCTCCTACTCACAATGTTGGGGTGTGAGAGGCGCAGCAGGACCCCGATCTCCGTCCTCACGATCTTTTTGTCGATCTGGAAGGCAGAACCAGCTGACATCCATCACCACCACTGCTGGTTCCACTGCACAGCCCCCCACGGCCTTTCCCACTGCAGAGGCAGGATCTGCCCCAGAATTTGAGCCCGTTGTGCTCCCCCCCCCCAGCCCTGCACTGCAGGGCATCTCCATCCCCATCCCCACGTCCCCACGTCCCCATTCCAATGCCCTTCACGATCCCAGACCCGCAGTGCCACCAACACTCACTGTCTTCTTCAGGATCTTGGCAGCATATGGGGTACGTGTGCCCTTCTCCTCACAGCTGTACACCACGGAGGTGGCTCCCCTGCAGGATGGAGGCAGGATTGGAGGCAGGATGGAGGCAGGGGGTCCCACTCCCCCTCCCCACCTCACAAAGCCTCCACCAGCACCGAGCTGCTTCACCCCGCATCAGTTCCAGCTTTCCCCACTAAAGCCATTGTAATTAAAACTGAATCCTAAAGGCGGTTTAAAGCCATAAGCGGCTTTCAGGGCAGGATGCAGCCCCCCCCCCCGGTTCCCAGCTCCAGGATGAGCTCAGTGGAACCGTGGATGCCTCAGGACCCCCCCCCCCCCCAAATCACACAACAAAACCTGCCATAGTGCAGAACTGCTCTGCCTTACAAAGGAAGGACTGCTCCCATCAGCCTGCACCGTGCTGCTCAGCTGCCCATCACTTTCAGATCTTGTTAATAATGTTTTCTAACCACTGGACGGTGAAATCAACCCATTTCTTCAGGCCATTATGGGGCTAGTTTGCAATTTCATCTTCGCTGCCCGGCTCCTCGGAGCAGATTAATTCTCACCCCCTGAGTAATCGACCGCACTTTATTGCTCTTTGGCTTTGACACCTTCTGGGACAAGTTCAGGTTCTGGCTCGAGGCACACGCCATCCCCCCATCCTCAGTCAGCACCAAGCCTCCGAAGGTCAAAGCCCAAAGAACCCCTTTTTTGCACCGAAATCTCCCTCAAGAACACAACGACCCATTGCTGCCCATTGCTGCCCACAGGTGACCCTGTGCCGCAGCTCCCGGGGGGCCCTCCTGAAATCCACCTCTCCGCTTTTAAAAATGGAGAGAGGATTTTGCAACTCATCTGCTGAGCTGGAGAATTGCATTCCCATGGCAACGGCAGAGCTGGGTACTGCGGGTGGACGGCGAGGGGTTGGGGATGGCACAGGGTTGGGGATGGCACAGGGTTGGGGATGGCACAGGGTTGGGGATGGCACAGGGTTGGGGACGTCATTGGGCTCAGCCTGCAGCACCCACAGAGCTGGGCAGCCCCACACTTTGAGCATTTCCGAAGCATTTTCTGCCTTTTGCTCAGCATTTCCCATCACATCCTGTGCTCAGGAAGAGCTGCAGACAGCTTTGCTTTGAACCCAAGGCACCACCGCTGCTGCTGTGCCCCATGGCCGTGCCGCTGGCCCCATTTCCCAGCTGCCGTGTCCCCTCTCCCTGCACCACGCTCACCCTCCCGTCACTCGACATCCCCTTTCAGCACCGCATTGTGCACAGATGATTTGCAGCCCACTCCTCGAGGGATCATTTGAAGCCCACCGGCCCCCTCAGCCCCACTCCTCCAACGCAGCTCCATGCACCCGCTGCCATTGCTGCGTTCCCAATCACAGCAGCAGCTGGACCCTGCCGCCAGCAGCTCCACCTGGCCGCTGCTTAAGGCCTGGAGTAAATACTGCAATCAACCTTGACAGCCACGGCAGATAATTGCATTTGCTTTACAGATGAACTGGAAAATGTCGAACAATGGGATTTGCCAGGAGCCTGAGTTCGCTGTGGGTGCAACGCAGCCCAGAGCCCGGATGGGATGCGTCTGGACGGAGGGTCGGGGGCAGGGTCTGTCCCCCCACCACGTGTCCATCTGTGCAGGCAGCACGCTCATCCCCAAGCTGCTGTTTGTGGCCCCACGCGTTCCTCTGTTGATGGAAACCCTGTGGGGGCTCTCAGATGGATGCAGGTTGCTCCACCAGCTCCCCTCTGCTGGGGGTCTCATCAGCCCTGGCTACACCTCCAGCTCAAAGCAAAGGATGGGAAGCTCTGGCTTTACTCGATGTGCAGCAGCTCCCCGGCTCCATGGCTGCAAGGCTGTCTGCAAGGACCCTGGCCCCATCCCAGAGCAGGCAAGCATCCTACGACAGCATGAGAGCTGCTGGGTGACAGCACTGCATGGGGCACTGGGTGGGATGTGCCTAGAAATGCCCATGCCGTGCCCCCTCTTGCAGCCTGGCCCATGCATCACACCTGGCACCATCCTGTGCCTTGGCAAAGCCCACATCTCAGGTGGCCAAAGAGCCCAGGAACCTCCATGGGGGTTTGCTGTTTGTGCCCCCACCAGTTGCTGAGCCCCTGGTGGTGGGGAAAGCCCTGGAGCTGGCTGTGGGTGTGGGGATACAGCTGGGACTTCTGTGGGGCCTCCTACCCTAAGTGGGACAAATCCTGGGAACAATCCCCTGCGGGGATGGGATTTATCCTCAATTGTGCTCCTTTGCTGGGGCTCCTCATAGGAGCCCCAGGTTCATCCTCCACTTGCCCACAAGCCAAAAGTCAGAGACCACCAACCCAGTCTCCACCAAAGGGATGAGAAGCGTAGAGCACATGAGGAACCTGAACCACGTCCTGCAAGACTTCAGTGAGTGCTCCCAAAACCACAGCAGCAGCACTGTGATCAACCAAAGCCCAGCTCACACCTGAGGATGGGATCCCCCTGCCCCTCTCCATCCCTCCATCCCTCCATCCCTCCATCCCTCCATCCATCCATCCATCCATCCATCCATCCATCCATCCATCCATCCATCCCTTCCCCTGCACCCTTCCTGCACCCAGCCCTCTGCACGCAGCCATTGAGCACGATGCTCCCACGCAGGGAATCCTCCTGCTGCCCTCCAACCCCCCCCCCCTTCAGGCAGTACCGTCCCAGTTCAGGGCCCACGACGTAGAAATCCTCCAGGGCAGCCTCACGGTGGGATCCATCGATCCAATACTCGCCGTCCGTCTTGGAGGAAGGCATGGTGCCGGGGGGAGGGAAGGGGGGAGGAGTCTCCCACCAGCTGCCAGGCAGAGCAGAGCCCAGCATCGCCACGGCCCCCCCAGCATCACCACGGCCCCCCCATTGCATGGCAGTGCACAGATGGCAGCAGGTTCTCCTTGGGATTACGGAGCGGGATGGATCCGCAGCCACAAATCCCCTTCCCACCAGACACGTACGCTGCCTTTTTGGAGATCATACCCCCAACCCCCCCCTCGCCCACCCCCGCACCCCACTTCTCAGCTTCCCGGGGCTCTTTTGGCAGCGGGTGCCCCGGCTGTGCTCTGGTTGTGCCCCACAGATGGGTGCTATGGGGTACCGTACCCCCAATTCCCGCATTCAACCCCAAACATCGCCAGCCCCGCAGCGCTTCCCCTCCCCACATATCAGCGCAGCCCCACGGCCGACACGTACCGTTAGCTGCTGCGTGGCTGCACGGCGGAGCCGAATCCCCCCCGGCTCTCCCTCATCCCCGGCGCAGGGCGGATGCGGGCACGGTGGGCGCTGCGTGCGGGGCTGGGCGGCCCCCCTTCCCCCACGCCCGGCTGCCGCCCTCCTGGGTACGGTAAGGATTTTCGGCCCTGGGGTGGGGATATGAAAGGATGCAGTGATGGAGGGATGCGGGAACACCGAGACGTAGGGAATAGGGATGTCCGTGCGTGGGGCTGCGGACCCGCAGAGACACCGGTGCGGGGGTAGGGGAAGGTGGAGACGCGGGGCTGCGGCGCTCGGGGGCCCTCCCCGGCCGCACCCCCACCCGGCACCGCTCCCGCCCGGCTCGGCCGTGCCACCCCCCGGTGGCCGCCGTCACTGCACCGCTCCCGTCCGCCCCGCACCCTGCAGGGACGCCCCCACCCCACGCCGCGGCTTCTCCATCACTCCTTTGCCTTCCCCCCCCCCCCCCCCCCCGCCACTCTTATGCCATTACCGAGGTCAGAATCCCATCCCGCACTCGCAGCGCTCCCGGTGATGCTCCGTTGGATCAGAGATCCGCCCGGAGCGCAGTGGAGATGGGGGAAGCCGTGCCGGAGGGCGGACCCCCGGGGCGCTGCAGCGGATCTCGGTTCCCTCCCCGAAGGAGCGGCGCTGCCCGGTGCGGCCGCACGGTGCCGCCGTCCGCCACGGGATGGGAGCGGAGGGGGCGGCGGGGAGAGGAGGGCCGGGGGTGAGGGGATGGGAACGGAGAAGGCATGGGAACGGGGGAGCGTTTGGGCGAGGTGGGGCCGGGCACGGAGCGCGCTCAGAAATGGGGATAGGGGCTGGAATTGGGTAGGAAAGGGGAAAGTGTCGGGGATGGGGCCGGGACCCCCAGGCAGGGCACCCCTAGGAAGGAGGGATTTGCGTTGCCCACCGCGGGGGGAGCCGAGCAGAGAGCTTGAAGTGTGCGAACCCGGGAAGGGACCGCAGGGCTGAGCACAAGGCTGCACCAACAGCACTGCACGGAGCAGCAGCACCGGCACCCAACGCACAGCGGGGATCCCAGCAGCTCCCCTTTGCACCCTTTCCTTGTCAGCACCAGGCTGCGATCCCCGCAGGTGCAGGTTGTGTGTTTTACCATTGCATACAGAAACACAGAGCGTCGTGGGGTTGGAGGAGTCCTGGGGATGATGCTCAGCCCTGACACAGGCAGCGCTCCAGGAAAGGCCCCACCAGCATGAGAAGCTCTCCTTGCGTTGGGCTCCGCAGGCGTTTATCAGAGTATTTCATCACATCTGAGGGAGGCGAACCCAGCCCTGCCTGATCCCAACTCATTGCAACTCAGGGATGTTCTTACAGGGAGAGACCTCAGCCCATAAAATGACTCAGCCATTCCTCCCCATCCCGCCCTTGCTCTTCTGGTGCATCATTAATATTTACCACTTCACCTAGAACCAACACAAGCCCTCATTTACCCACCCCAAAAAGAGCAGTGGGCTGCATCTGCGGAGCGGAGGCAGCTCCTTCCCCTTATCAACTCACTGCTATGAATTGAGGGCACTGCGCTCTGCCCACCCCCTCCACGTCCCCCCATTTGGCCCATGGATGCTGGGCAGCCCCCCAGGATGGGGCTGAGGCTGGCAGCCTCCCAGGTCCCCCCATCAGCAGCAGAGGAAAGGCCTTCAGGGCCCAGCAGTGCAGAGGTGGGGCTGCAGGAGACCTTCAGCCTTTTGTCTCCAGCGAAGGAATTAATTATTTTGCTCTCTCATTACGCTGGAGTGAAACCCCATTTATAAATATAGGCATCCGAAATGGTGGTTTGTTTTCTTTTTTCCACACCTTGGGAAACCTTTCTCTCCCCTTCTCACCCTCACTTCTGTCTCGTCTCACCTCCATCCATGTTCCAGCAAACCCAAAGGAGGGGGAGCTCACCCAGAGCTGCCGGGGGTCCGTGGGGGTGAAAGCAGAGCGGGACCCCCAGCTCAACCCCCCAAAACACCCCTGGATGATGGCAGCACCACGAGAGCCTCCCGGTGCCTCCTGCAGCCGTTGCTGAGCGATGCTCAATTGTTCAGAACCAAAAATGGAAATTAATACATACTGTTAATGCCCCCCCTGCCCCCTCCTCCCCCTCCCCGGCATCCCCACCTTCCCCAGCGCCGCTCGCCTTGTTAATTGAATGGCACCGAGCAAATGAGGTCAGAGCTCAGTGCAGCCAGACAAGGACGCAGAGCACACGACAGGTCTGTCTGCTGAGTGGTGTTAGCATTCCTGCCAGCAACCGCTCATTAACAACCTAAAAGGCAGCGTAAGCATCCCGTTGGGTGTGCGCTCCAGCGGCCCTTCCCTCGTGGAAGCGTTCGAGGTTGGAGCACGGGATCTGTGGGGTCCGAGCAGATGGGACACGGCTGCCCCCCTCGGGTGGGTCGGTCTGCCTGAGCCTCCCAGCAAAGCCCATCCCACAGCCCCCATCCTGCTCTGCTCTTTGGCAGTGCTTCCATTGCCCTCAGGCTGCGCCGTGCCTCAGTTTCCCCAGCTGCACAGCACAGCACAGCACAGCACAGCACAGCAGGCACCCAGTACCTCCGCTCAGGGACCACCCTTAGGGATGCTCTCAGCTCTGCTCCATCCCTCCCACCCCAGCCAAGCTCCCACAGCAGCCTCAGGCTCCCACGTTTCCCTCCTGGAACAAAGGAAGCTCTTCCTGCACCTCACCTCACCCTCCCACTCCCCCACTTCCTCTTTCATTCCTTTTCCTCTCTTTTCTCTCCCTTCTTTTTTTTTTTTTTTAAGAAAGGAATGAGTTGTCTTCCCACAGATGTGACTAAAAGCACTCTGGAAATGTCAGCCACTGCTGGAAAGGGACCCAGATAACATTTAGCTTTAGGTAAGAGAGTAGATTTTCTCTGCACTAATTCATATTTATAAGCTCTCCTGTTCCCAGGGAGCGCGCGGCACTGATAGCACTTGCTGATTGCTAGTGAGCAGTGCAGGGAATTGTTTTCATATCTGAGATTAAAGAGTGCTTTCTGCTCCCAGTGGCACCTGTGTATTTACGCTGGTCATTCTCAATTCATTCTTATAAGATTAAGACTGGAAATGGGAAATGGTTATAGAGTGCCGAGGTGGCAGGGGGGGAAAAACACCCCACCGGAGTCCTGAGAGCCCCTCTGGGGTTCCCTATGCTGACCCAGGGATGGGGAGCTGCGGACAGACGGACACCAGACAGACGCCCAGCATCAGCTTGGGCTGAAGATTGGTTCCTATTATGATTTTTCAGCACATCCCTGGCTCTGCGTCGGCTGATGGAAAACAAACAAGTAAAGCCGCTTTCTCCTCCCCGAGATCGAGGATTTGGGAACTTTTGGGGCTTGGGCTCGTTTTGTTTCTGTCGTCGTCGGCGGATTTGTGTTTGCAGAGGGGCCGAGCGGCTCCGGAGCTACAAAACACGGGGAGAGGGGAAAAAACGCTGCGGTGGGACGCTGAGAGTCAGGGGAGGGAGAAGGAGAGGCGGGAGGGGAGCGGGGTGGAAAGGGAAAAAGGCGAAAGGAGAAACAATGGCAGAAGGCACCCCGGGGACTTCCTGAGAGGTTTTAGAAATTCAAAATACGCCTTAGAGCCTCAAAGCTGTGTCAGTCACAGCCCCGGCGCGGGGATCACGAAGGCTGCGGCCGAACAATACCGGATTGTGTGAGGAAGGTGGGAAATAGGGGGTCTCAGCGGCTCCGCTCACACCAGCGGTTCCGCTCGTCAAGCACGCGTTCCACATGAATCAATTCTGGACAGTGCCTCGGCATAATCCCCTCCAGCCCCGCGATGACAACTTGAAGGAGAACTCTGTGCTGAGTGACAGCAGACGGAGCGCTGACATGGAGAGGCCGCAGGACTTCCCTGCCCGGCCCCTTGCCTTCCTTTCTCCCTCCCAGCAACTTTTCATCGGCTGCAGTCGGAGCAGCTCAACCCAAAACGGGCTACGTCCCTTCCCAACCCCCTCCTCACCCCATCGCTGGCAGCTCCCACCCCACAATCGCTTCCCATGGTCCTGCGCACCCCACACAGCGCAGCCCCAGCGGGGAGAGGAGGAAGGCAGGAGCTGAGTTCAGATCAACCCCAGCCCCCCCAAAAAAAAGCCTGATGCGAACTTTCTTGAGTGGGGAGCGAACAAAGAGCAGCACGGCCATGGGGCAGGCAGGGTTTGGGGGTCAGAGTCCAGCCAGGAGACCCCTCCCCTATTGAGGGATGGGGAACAGAGCACGTGAAAGCAAAACTTTACCTGAACGCCCCACACTGAGCTCAGGACCTCCAGCAAGAACTGCCACCCTGCTCAGTGCATCCACTCAGATGGACACAGCAGCTGCCAGGACCCAGAGCATTAATTACCCCTTATCAGGGGTGTGTGATGCGAGCTGTGGCTCCGTTAATTACTCCTCTGCAGATGGCACCATCCACGTGTGTTTGCAGCTTAACTGTGAGGGGCTCTGACACCTGGCACAGCTCTGGGATGGGGATGGGGATGGGGATGGGGATGGGGATGGGATGGGGATGGGGATGGGGATGGGGATGGGGATGGGATGGGGATGGGATAGGGATGGGGATGGGGATGGGGATGGGGATGGGGATGGGATGGGGATGGGGATGGGGATGGGATGGGGATGGAGATGGGGATGGGGATGGGGATGGGGATGGGGATGGGGATGGGGATGGGGATGGGATGGGGATGGGATGGGGATGGGGATGGGGATGGGGATGGAATGGGGATGGGGATGGGGATGGGGATGGGGATGGGGATGGGGATGGGGATGGGGATGGGGATGGGGATGCATTGCCATGCCATGCCTTGCCTGGGAAACAATCCCCGAAGCAGGGCAGAGGATCCTGGCTGCAGCTGGGATCTGTTGGCCAGGAGGCAATGAGCTGCTCTGAGGTCATAGGGAAGATGTAACGATGCTCCTGTGGCCCTGGAGCTGTAAGATCCCATAATCACTTCCCCACCTGCTCTCTGCGCCTGTCTGCCTCGTTAGGTAAACTGTGCGTTATTAATAATCATATCAAGAATAAAAAGAGGTTTTGTCATCTCTGGATCCTGTTCCTTTCTTGGGCTCCCTGTTCTGGTTCCACATCCCTGCTCGGGGAAGCAAAAGATATAAAGGAAACTAATTAAAAATTGCCAGTGTCTTCTGTCGGAGCATTTGGGTGCGTTCAGTGGTGAAAGACGCGCGTCTTGTTGCAAGAAAATCAATTTTACAGTTACAGGAGCAGAATAAATAGAGGTGGTGCGTTAAGGCAGGAGGGTGGGAGGGGGCCTGGGGGGTGGCAGTGTGGGGTGGGCGCTGCG